GAGCTTTTTTCAGCACAAAATAAGCTTGGCTTCCAGTTCTACCCAACCTTGCACAGATACCAGGTACCATCCTGGGAATCAAAGGCGGCTGATGCAATCTTGACCTCAGCCTTTTCTGAGTGCTGTTTGATCTATAAAATATAGGCCCAAAGGCCCAATGGAGTGAAAAACTGTCTTTCAATTGTTTGTATCTGTATTTGACCAGCTCTATGATATTTGGTTTTGTACGGAGATGGGATTGGAGACAGGTGGAAAGAATAGATATATAATTTCCCCTTCTGGGTTCCGGGGTTCAAATGTTGAGGGGGAGGTGGATGTAGGTGCGGTAAACTTTTGACGCTTAACAAGCATATCGTTAGTGACGACTTATTAGGGGTTTGCTGAATTTGGATCTTTTGGGTTCAAAAGAGAAGATTTCAAAGCTAACTATAAACCACAACATTTAGTACCAACAGGTAATTTAAAGAGAAAAAAAAAAGAGGAGGAAATGGGCAGGAGAAGGACAAGAAAAGAATATGTGGGTGTATGTGTATGGGTGTGCGCGTGCACACTTGTTGCTGTTTGTGTGTGTGTGTGTGTGTGTGTGTAGGGCGAGGTCAGTAAAGTTTATTTCAAATCAAGATTTATAGTCTTTTACTTTTAAACTAGTTGGGTATGATAAACGCTCATGTTCTTTTAAGGCGTGGTTTTGAGAGCATTGCTCTGAGCTGTGCAACCGTCAGCAATCTCTGTAATTTCTTCAGTTTCTGGCTGTCAACTTAACGACCTACTACCGGGCGACAGCTGCAGAAATTCTTCAATGCGGATTACTTTGTCTGATTAGCTTCTTTTTGGACGATCTAACAGCGGTGGTAGCCGCAGGACAATGTCACTGTGGACAAAGCTACAGTTCTGACAGTATCCGTCCTTGGTTAAATGTCTCATTTGTAAGTACTGTTGAGCTTACTCTGGAAATGTTACTATCCAATATTTAATAATATTGTGTGGTGAATAGAGCGGATTTCATGCTTTCCTAGCTATTTTATTGTAAAGCGACACCCCCTGAAAGACTAGGAGATGCAGTCGATCTTGTTTATGTATGTGGCCTATATTTGAAGCAGAAAATAATGCATTTTTTTAAAGGTTATCAGGAGAGATTGGGAGATACAGTCAGAGGCGTAGCAAGAACGTTGGCTGGGGCGGGGGTTAGGGGGGGGGGGTACTAGATGTCATAACTAAAGTGTGTGTGTGTGTGTGGCCCGGAAAATGGGAGGGGGTGACAAAATGCCAACAATTTGTTTTTTAATCATATAGAATTTGAGTAAGTGTATTTGTGTGTGTGTGTTTGTACGTGTGGTGTGTTTGCATGTGTGATATGTGTGTGTGTTTGTCTGTGTGTGTTTATATGTGTGTGTGTGTGTGTAGTGGATAATAGGAACGTTTCCGAAAGGGATACCACATCACCTTGCTGCTCGACTAGCTACAGTCGCTCTTGTTAACCGATGTAGGACATACCTGACGCAGAAAATAATGCATTTCATGTTGTCGGCCAGGAGGGGAGAGTGGAATATACTGTCGCCCTTGTTTGTTGATGCAAGAAATATGTGACGGAAAAAATAACGCCCTTGTTGACGGTTATGAGCAGTAGCGATGGAACCAAGGGTTCAGGCCTTTTAAAGCCCCACCCCCCCTTTCCAACGTTTTAAGGAAGCTAAGCCGCTCTCTTCTTCTTCTTCTTCTTCTTCTTCTTTTCTTCTTCTTCTTCTTCTTCTTCTTCTTCTTCTTCTTCTTCTTCTTCTTCTTCTTCTTCTTCTTCTTCTTCTTCTTCTTCTTCTTCTTCTTCTTCTTTTTCTTCTTCTTCTTCTTCTCCTTCTTTATACTCCTCTTCCCTGTACCCCCTCCCCCCTAATGGAGCATTTGGAATTAAAAATTTAAATTGGTTTGTAAATTGCATCATTTTTCAAATATATTTTTACATTCCTTTGCCATTCTGCATATTACACACACACACACACACACACACACACACAACACAAGCACACACAAGCACACACACACACACACACACTTAAATGAAGTATATATATACCAATACAAATTAAAAACTGAAAAGAGTAATATAAATTACAATAACCATGCCATTGTCTTGTAACTTGTCAAAATTGTTGTTGTAGATGTCAAGAGTAATAAGCCCGTGACATCACGGTGTATTCAAACACGATGACGTCATAATGACATTGTGAAGATAGCCGTCCTACAATCACCAAAGAGGAGCATCGTTCTATTTTAAGTTTATTGATAAGTGATGGGGTGAAACCTATAGAAGTTCATCGGTAAATGAAGGTCCAGTATGATGATGCATGCCTGCCAGTCCAGCAAGTGTATGAGTGGAGTAGAAAGTTTAAACACGGCATGGGTCGTTACTCGGTCGTAAGCAATCTGACCTGGTTGTGAGCAGTCAGTCATAGAAGTCCCCCTGGTGCGAAACGGCCCTAGGCCGTTGCTCTCAGCATGCATCTGTTCGTTCTGTGGAGAGAGACCAAACCTCACAAGATAAAACCAAGTGCAATGAAGTAGATGCTCTCTCTTTCACTATACAAGCAGTTAACTGAGAAGTTGAAATTACAATAAGGAAATCACTTAGTAAATCTTTCCCAAAACAGTTGATTTCAGTCACCATGCGTGATCATAACGTTTGCAAGTAACGGTTACATTTGAGAGGATATCACGTGATGCTTTCACCCTCGTCGATTCGCTGTTTAGAATATTAGTGTGTAGCTAGCATTCTAAGCATTAGTTACTGGCAGCTTTCACACAATACAGTTTCTGAATCTGTGCTACAAGCATGTAGCTCGCTATATCTTTCTTATGCTGGAGAGGTAAACCAATTGGCATATTTGTTTTAAATAATACACAATAATAATAAATAGTAGCATATATTTTCATTGGCAATTTAAAGTGTGAGCGGTGATTACAGTCGTTACACGCCTCACCACTGGTTGACCAGCAAGTATTTTACATACAGTAACACTTCAGTAACATGAACTCGCTTAAAACAAACACAATTTTATTTGATTGTGAATTTATTATCTATCTACATAAATAAAAATGAATATGTTCGTTTGTTCCGAATCGCAAATTTCCGAAAGTTCTTCGCCGATTGCTTTGAAATTTTGACACAACGTTGAATTCCAATACGCGCATGTTTTGATTTACCTACTATTATATAGATATCATAAACATTTGAGAAACATACGCTTACTAAAATATATGCTGTTCTCCGTCACATTCAGATACACTGGCAGCCATTACTAACAAAATGCTCACCGCCATTCAGCCTTAGGGAGTGATCACATGACCATACCTTTCTGAATGACTCTGAGACGTTAGTGATAAGAGGCTTTCCCCTGGTCTGCAGGTTTGCGGGTGGACCAGTTGATGGACCCTCAGTCGTCATTAAATTCGACCCTTTCGCATACAACAACTCCATTTCAGTGTTTCCGATTGTATTGTTATATTGAGTTTTTATAGATTTCAATTTTTTTAATTCTTGATTTAATTATTTCATGTGACATGGCTTTGAAATTGAGCTGTGTCGTTTATCATAGAGTTCATTTCGTAAGAAAAGTGTATTTTCGTCTTTTTCGTTAGTATACACGGTCCGACAATTAAGTAATGAGACTGATTTTATTATGACCAAGACAAAAATACCAAACTATGAAGCAATGCATGGAATCTAAATAGGCAAAATTGCTCTATGATCTGGCAAATTTTCATCGTCCCTGTATAAGCAGACAACAAAAAACCGCCATTTTGTTGGCCTAGTCAGAGGTGCATTGTTGCGTAATCAGCACGGAGCACACAAAAAAACTAACATTTAAATTATTTTTAAAACTCAGAAAAAGCGGCATTGAAACAGCTGAATTGATGCAACAAGTTTATGGGGATAATTGCTTGTCTCGTGCACACATTTTCTGGTGGTATTCACGATTCAAAAGTGGTGTGGAAATGATTACTAATGCACCTAGACCTGGACGCCGAATTTCTGTTTGTAATGATGAACTCAATGAAAAAGTCAGATAAAAGAAGATCATTGTTTTACTATGAGGATGATGGCAGATGAATCTGGTGTTAATAGAGAGACCATTCATAAAATTTTAGTGCAAGATTTTAACAAGAAAAAAGTTGCTTGTCGGTTTGTACCACATTCGTTGTCTGATGACCAAAAACATCAGCCAGTTGAGTACCCAAAAGACATCATCAAAACAAGATCCCCCCCCAAACAAGTGTGTGTTCTCAGCCTTCCACCCTATATTATCCAGATTTGTATGCCTGTGATTATTTTCTATTCCCAAAATAAAAGTTACGATTGAAAATATTCTTCTTCAACGATATTAATGACATCCAAACGGCCGAAACATCGACTGTAAGGGCCATAACAACAGAAGAACTACAGAGGTCGTTCCAGTGTTTGTTAGATTGTACCACTTGCTGTATCAATTCACAAGGGGGTTGCTTTAAATTCAGATAAGGTTATATCTTCAACTGTTGATTATTTTTTTTATGGAATAAGTCTTATTATTAATTGTCGGACTTTGTAGTGCATTTTCTTTTTCTTTCTTTCGTTGTTTTTGCACTTTAAAAAAAAAAACGGTTTTTCTTACTTTTCAATGCAAATGGCGGTCGGTGGAAATGAGCTGTGTCGATTGATCTGCGTTTAAAATAAAATATTTAATTAGTATTATTTCTATGTTTTTTGTTATAACTTTCTTTCTTCTTTTTCAGTGCAACATGCGTTTTCTCTCTTTCTTTTTTTTTTTTTTTTTTCATTACAACCAGACTGTGCCGCAGCAACGCGTGGCAGGTTGCAGTTAGCTCATAACATGTCTATTAGTACCAAGCTAGCACGTATTTTTATTTTGGTTTTTGTAAACACAAGCTTTGATTTTTCGGTCCATTGGAATTCTCGGTTGTTACTGTAACAGTTCTCTGATAATCAAGCTGAAGAATTTAAGTTATAGTTAAGCATCGATGTTACTATTTTCTGTAAGGCTATTACTTTTAGCTTGCGTTTGTCTTTTAAACATTTTGTAAAACGTAGCCCTAAATGAAGTACTCATGGCGAAAAAAATAAAGAAGTTAACGGCACCATTAATCAAGTCGAATATCCATAAGAAGTAACAAACAAACACAAAGAAATTATGATACAGTCGAAGAAAGTAAAACTCGTGTATAATATACTTTGCGATGTAATGGGCGATTCTTGGGAAAAGGCTGAAAACGTATACTCCAACTATAACTAGCAACATTTTGACGACTTGCTTGTCTCTGGTACTTAGCTGGATTGTACTTTGACCTTTGGCCTCTGCGTGACCAGAGCGGAATTTAGTGCTTTCCTTAAGTTTATACACGATGATCAAAGTGCAGAAAACGATAACCACAAAACTAACCAACGGCCACAGTATTCCAGATAAATTATAGTATTCAAATAATAGATATTCGTTTGCATAATAGAAGTCGTTTTTTAAGTAAATCGCAATAGTTTGATTGTATACGTCACTGTACACCCAAACGATGTCGTAAATACCAGACATGACCACAAACAGTCCAAATATTACCACCGATATAGTCAAACTGATTGAGAGAGCTACTTTTGGGGTGATCAGCCACTTAACCTTAAACGGTATACACACACACAGACATCTCTCAACGGCAACATAGGCAGCCAGAACACTGGTAACATAAGTGGAGTAACAGATCAGGTGGTTAAAAGCAACCACACTAATATTTGTCCAGCTTTCGGCGTCCGCCTCTGACCAAGTGGCCATGGGGCCTGCCATTCTCTGCATTGAGGCAGCTAGACACTTGGCCAGATCCCAAACAGCAATGGTGGTCATTGAAATGTTAACGCTCTCTTTAAATCCTTGCTTGATAAAAACCATAATGACTAAGACGTTAGCAACGATCCCAATGTTAGAAATAGTGAAAGACAAAACAAAATCCAGAATTATTTCGGATATTTTTCTGGCTTCTGTGGACATTATAATCTCAGAAGGTTTAAATACTAAAGCTTTAATCACAACTGGTACTCTGAGAGTAACCCTGGCCTGAGTGACACTGACTTCCACTGATGCTGGCATGTTTTAAAACGACTACAGGATGAAACTGGTAAGAAGCTGTACCCTCTGTTCCATGTATTGTCCTCAACACCCTATCTGTAAAAGATATACAAAAATAAATTATTTATTTAAAATTCAGATGTTTATTCATTTGTGATGAATGGATGCCTTTATTATATCACCAAAGTTATATTTGTATCTCCCTTGTGCTGTATAATTAAATGAAACAGAGAGGTTCTGTTATTTAGGTGCTTTTCTAATATCCTTTCACAAACAGGGGAAATCAACAGGTCACGCTGCAGTCTAATATTTTAGGGGGTTGTAAATGGGCTGCATGCAGTCCTGGGACATAGGCTGCATGCATTCGTGGGACCTAGGCTGCACTCTCTCGTGGGACCTAGGCTGCATGCAGTCGTGGGACCTAGGCTGCATGCATTCGTGGGACCTAGGCTGCACTCTCTCGTGGGACCTATGCTGCATGCATTCGTGGGACCTAGGCTGCATGCATTCATAGGACCTAGGCTGCATGCATTCGTGGGACCTAGGCTGCACTCTCTCGTGGGACCTAGGCTGCATGCATTCGTGGGACCTAGGCTGCACTCTCTCGTGGGACGTTGGTGGGTTGTAGTTAAGGCCAGCTTTAAATGTTTTGGGGTCGTTAAAAGCATAAGAAAGCCGGGAAACCCAGTCTTACCACCCTCTTAAATGTTGGACTATCATGTGACTTCATCTGGGATAAGATATTACAATAGGACCCTTATTTACAGTCTGTTACGGTATGATAGGATAAGAGGCAGAATCCAAACAAAGGTAGTATTTCACTATATGAAAAACAAGTGGTTTAATAGATCCCTGGCTATGACAGTCGGATATCGAGTATTAAGAACCCACAGACTGCTGATACTACTGTATGCATGTAAAGGAGTTGACATGAAAATCGAAAGTAGCAACACATTAGAGGTAAGTGGAGTTTCATTTTATAGTATAAGAATCCAATGAACACAAATTCAAGTGCTGCAGCAGATGCATTCACATTGATCACCAAAACTATAAAAAATAAAAAAATAAACTGTTTAGTTCTGTTAGTTGGCGTCTGTAGTCTAGGCGCTGTGAATGCGCTTCATTATTATGTGGTGCTTGGCTGGATTCTAAGTGCAGCAATTTGGCAGTGTACTGTCTGGCGCTGGATTTAACAGTGGTTTCAAGAGTCTATTTAGGAAGCAATGGTAACATACAAAACGTAAAATTGCCGAGTGAAATCATAAACAGCCAAACAATGTTAGGGTTGAATCTGCGACCACCCTGTAATGACCACAACTATATATATTTTTTACACTATGTTTTTTTAGGTTAAAACAAAAATCCGTTTGGAAGAAGAAAGGATTGTAAGAACATTGTGGCAACTGGACAGACTATTTATTTATAGAACATATGAGGGACAAGCAAAGGTTAAAAAAGAATATAAAGATTCCTTTTCACACGTTTAGACGCATCGGGCATATGGAATGAGAACCCATATTTGTACAAACCATTCGGCACTAGGTGGGTAATGAACAAACAAAAGATGAGGTGGTAATTTAGAACGAGGTTATGAGCAAAGTCTTTACAACAATCGCACTCTGACAGGCGCAAAGCTTTTCTGAAGATACCACGACCTGAAAGCCAAAATTTAAAACCTTCCAGAAGATTCACAAGCGAACCAGTCATTAATAATAATAATTGGCGTTTCATGTCAAATAAATACACACAGTATCCGCAATCTCACAATCACTAAGTATACAGCCATCCACAATTCATTCAAAAACACGTATATACCAATTCATAAAAAGCACGCGTTACCATTGACAATAGATCACCGCACCTTAATTCTTTTAGTAAGAGAAGATTTAGTATGCGATGCTAATGAAGACATATCAGTGGTTAAAATTCATCAATGCATTATTTTCAAAATGGTAATATAACAGTAGTAGTGACCATTAGACAGGCCATATTTTTTTTTACTGTATTCTTACCAAATACACAAAGTACAAGAACACATTTAGCTATGGAGAAGATTCAGCAGATAGAATGATTTACACATTATACATCCTTTGGGACTCACAAAACATGTAATTAATGGCGACTTATTAAGAATTTTCTAAAATGGAATATCTTGGACTTGAAAGACTTAGATATTGCAGCCTCACTGTAAACAGCAACACAACATGACAGCTCCTCTTATAAGCATGAACGCAAAAGAAGATAAAGATTCCAGAAGCGGACACTGATGTGAATCACGAAAATATCTGCATTCCACTACATCTCAAAACAAGAGCACGTGACATTCCAGAAGAAGGAGAGGCAGCGACAGCCCACTATGATAGGCCTAAAACACGAATTTGTATGTACCTGACAATCTTCCTTGTTTATACCAAATTATTTTCCTCTTTAAATGTTGAATTATGGCACAGCAGACGGAGAAACCCCTTTTATGCTTAGTAAAATATATAGCGGGATATCAAATGTTTGTAATAATAATAATAATATGGAATGATCAGTTCACAGTTGCAAGCATTAGCAAGTAACGATTAGACTAGAGATGGTAGGTATCACGGGATATTTCCCCCCTTGTCGCTTGGCTGTTGAGAATATACGTGCGTCGATAGCATTGTAAACTGGTAGCTTTCACACATTGCAGTTTCTGCATAAGTAGCGTAGTGTTCAGTGAGTATTGTTTTCGCTATGATCGAGACGCAAACGAAGTGGCATATTTGTAATAAATATTAGTAAACAGTAATCAATAATAGTAAACAGTAAAATCATTTCTCTTTGTCAATAGAAAGTGCAAACAGCCATTACAGCAGACCTCTCCACTGCTGTCGTTACAAACCGAAAGATGTACCCTGAAAGGAAATCTACGATACTCAGATGTGGCAATCAACCTCTTGGACATAGAAGCTTTCCGATTCCGATTCCTTTTGGGGGAAAAACAAAAATTAAAAGTTCGATCACTTTTAGACTGCTGCTAGCTAGCCGAGGTTGCCAACAGTCTCCGTCTATATTTGTGGTCTGGTTTATTTGCCTCACTTTCGTGACTAATGTTTTAGTATTTGCGCCGTCTATGGGCTTAATGCTTCCTTCTTTCCAGTCAGACCGCTCGTTTTCTACCCTGTTGTTAGCTGTTTACTTCTAGCCTTTTCCTCCATGTGTTTCTTTCTTGGTTTCAGCGCCCTCTGATTTGGCCGGGCTTATTTCGTTGGAGAGCGGGATAACGTCCTTTGGATCCCCATTTATAGTTTTGAAATTTTGAGTGTCTTACTTTGCCAAAAAGTACTGAAAACAGTTTTTGTGTGAGTGTTGGACAGATCTAAAATGTAAAAGCATTCCGCGTGTGACCATAGTCATAGAAGCAGACTTTTAGTACTTTTGTACGTTTAGACCGATTGGTCTAAAAAGAGGGAGCTTACACCATTGACACATTTACGTCATGACGTTAGAAGAGTTGATTTACTTTAATGTCAAATGTGTAGACAGCTTCTAATAACTGTTCTTAACTAGACCGACATGAAGGAACAATGTTAGGAAGCAAAGACAGTGGGGCCACATCACCGACGCATAGCCGACTGGTGTATAAAAATATGGAGATAACACTAATAGTACGCTTAAAAGGAAAGAAAAAAAAGCGGTTGGGGGATTTCCGGCCAAGATGACGAAAGCAGATCCAGTACTGGGGTAAGTAACATCACTTTCAAAAAAGAAGGATACCTTGGTCTACTAACACAAATCTTTTTTTTTTTAAATTGATAATTGACAACTATGCAGTTCTGTGTCACACATAGGCAAATACTACAACTACAGAGCGTAAACATAATACCAAAATAGGTGAGATATCTAGGACGAACTGTTGGAATAGCAAGAGGAGACACATTAATTGAAGAAGACAGACCCTGAAACCAGTCATACAGTTCCTTAAAGAGCAAAAAAATGCGATACCAGGCAATCTGATGAGATTAGACTGATACCGCTTGCTACAGAAAGCCACTTGAAAGAAAAAAAAAATAAACACAGAGCAAGAGAAAGACCACGCCCCCCAAAAAAAGAAAGACTTATGATTAAAAAAAAACCCGAAGATATTAAATATCCACTTATGCAACCAAAGGACATTCTTTGTGTGTGTTTGGAAAGAACACACAAAAGATCATATATATATATATATATATATATATATATATATATGCGTGTGTGTGTGTGTGTATGTGTGTGTGTCTTCTGTTATATTCATGCTACGCCATGCGAGTTAGAAGAGGTCCTCCTTTACTGTACCTGTTTACCCACTTTATTAAAATCTGTATATTTCATCCGGTACTTTAACAATACACCTAGCTTGTCGCATGTCAACAGAAAAACCACACCCTGTGGACTAATTTCAGCGGATAAAGACAGGTAACTCATTTAAAAGAGTGAAGTTGCAGATTTATCCAAGTTGCCTAGGAATGTTTCTTGTAAAAATGTGGGGATTGTTAATGAAACAAATCTATCTTCTGTTTAAGGTTATACAAGGGAAATTAAAAAGTTGACATAGAACAAGTACTAAATTACAGAACAAAATTACACACACAAATGGCAAAAACATTTTGTTGCTTAGCAAAAATGGTTAGTGATTTTAAACCACACAGACTTTAAGATACTGGAAAAGGATTGTGGTGTCCAAGGTAGACTAGCTTTGGTTTTAGATTTGAACAACGGATCAACATCATGGCACACGGCTAGTAACCCATAAGTGCTTCGTTCTTTCTCTTAACTCAAGACTGAGTGCACAGGCTCTGTAGCACCGGCAAGGATCCTGAAATACTTTGGGTAGATTTGTAACTCCCAATTTTGCCCGGGCAGCGCCGTTAGGCTACTCTTTTCAATTTCTAACTGCCAAAAGATTTTTTTTTACGTGCGCAACAATGCACACGCGCGTCCGATCTCACTACCCAGAGACCAGGGAAAATTACTGGAAGTCCAAGTCCACGTGAAAGAATCCCAGACCTTACCAC